TAGTTTTAAGGAAGAAGATTCTAATTCAAATATAAAACCAAATTGCTATTTATGAAGGCAAAGTTCAGTAGTATATCTCTGACCAATCTTCCTTTGTTCTCTAACTAGAGTCTTGATAAACTATTTGACATTCTCTCTATCTGGAATAGTCCACTTGTCCTGCACATGCATGATCCGTCTCTCTCTCTCTCTCTCTCTCTCTCACACACACACACACACACACACACACACACACCATTATCCTTCTAGCTAATTTCCACATATATTTTAGGTCTTAATTTAGATGTCATTTCTTCTGAGAAACCTAGTGCAATATCGCCTAGACCCAATGAGGTGCTGTCTCCAATACTCTGAACTACTGTAGCCATGTTGTCACTCTGTATAGTGATTGCCTGTTTACTTGTCTACTTTGTCCAATAAACTCTTAAGTTCCTTGATGGAAAAAACTAGCTGTGCCTTCAACCTTGTTTTATCCTTAGGGCTTAGCACAATGCCAGTCACAAAATACACAGGTGCTTAACATTTGCTAAAGGAATGCATACAGTCTGTAATATAAATTGTAATTCCTTTCCATCATCTTTTCTTTCTGAAAATATTTTTCCTAGAGTAAAACTAGCTCCAGTTATTTTGAAGAGAAATTAAGTTTGGTATGTTGAGATGAAGAAACTGAGGCTTGAGCACTTGTATATTATGGTAACCTGCAGGGCTGGTAATAAAAAGAAAAGTCATGTGGCAGCTTCAATAGTTGATGTGTGATTTCCATGTTCACTACCCCCAATCACAGAAGCACAGATCCACTTCCCCTAATGATAGAAGTCTGTTTTAGGTGTGACCTTCTATCAGGCTGTGTCCCTGAGATGTAGAACAGATTCTCCAGATGACCACAATGGACATTTCATAAATCAAGAAATAAATCTCTAATGTTGCTACATATCTAATCTGTCCTGATTGACATGCTTGGTAATATCTGCTTTCGCCATGTCTTTATTCTTGCTATTCTTGCTTTATTCTTGCTATTAATATTACTAGCCTTCTCTCTAGAAATAGAAAATACCAAATATTCTCTTTCCAATTCTCCCTAGCAGCTAAGAGTAGCCATGCAGCACAGATCTAGACAAGGAAATTGAAGGGAAATTCTACTTGTGCTCCACTAAATATTTTCAATCTTCCAAAAAGAGATTCTGAAAAGAACTTTCCTCTCCCCTTTTCCTTCTGTATGCAATTGTATAAAAATGTTTTTTGACTGAGAATATAAACCAAAGAATTAAGGCCAACATGTTTTTTAAAAATGTTTCAATGACATAATTGAGTGGCTATCCAAAACCTGAATTTGCCACCTCAAGACTGATTACAGTGTGAGATTGTACGTATTGTTAGTGGTCTTTAATGGTTGGACTACTGTTGATTAGGAATATTTTGTTACTTCCCATTGAACACACCCTAACTAATTGTGTGATGTTTTAGTCAGCTTTTTCACCACTGTGACTAAAAGGACCCTACCAGGACAATTGTAGCGAAGAAAAAGTTTATTTGGAGGCTTACGTTTCAGAGGTCTCTGTCTATAGACAGCCATGTCCATTCCTCGGGGCTCAAGGTGAGGCTGAACATCATGGTGGAAGAGAACGGCAGAGGGAAGTAGCTCACAGGGTGATTAGAAAGCAGAGAGAGAGCCTCTACTCTCCAGATACAAAATATATACCCCATAGCCACACCCCCAATGAACTGTTTCCCCCAGCCACATCCCACCTGCCTCCAATTATGACTCAGTTAATCCCATCAGGGATTAATTAACTGATTAGGTAAAGCTATAACCCAATCATTTGTCCTCCAAACCTTCTTGCACAGTCTCACATGTGAGCTTTTGGGGGGCACCTCATACCCAAACCTTAACATACGGGAATATGTAAGCTTTTATCTCTGGCATCTTATCTTTTTTTCTTTTATTTATTTATTTATTTTTCTTATCTTTTTTTTTCTTATCTTAATGTCAAGAGCCAGTATAAACCAGAAAGTTACACTGGGTACCCAGGAACCAAAAATACTATTTGTAATCACTGAATACATGAGGTGACCATCTAGTGATGAGATTATTTGCCTGAAGCTTCAACCCTTGTGCTGATTCAGAAAAGTATAGTGATCTTGCTTACATTGTAAAAGAAGCATAAGAGAGTAGATTGGAAAAATATATTCACAAATAAATTTGTTATTGGTATCTTTGTTCAGAATTAGCTCATAAAACAATTTTATAATTAGCTACCTGCCTAGGAAACTCTAAGTTGACCAAGTAAGTGCACAGAATGCCAACCACATGTGTTTTACCAGTAGTTGATCTTCAGAGGTTGGGAAGGAGCTGATGAAGAAGTAACTCTATTTTGTTTGAATGGTTCTTTACAGAAGTTGTTTCCCTCTCCAATCTGATTTACATGTAATCTATTACCTTTATATCTCTCTTAAAAAAAAAAAAGTGTTAATTTGTCTACATTACTTTTCATTAGAAAATACCAAGTGTAATTCTTAATTTATTATTAAATATTCTATTGAATATTAACAGTTTTACAGAATACTCATCGAAAAAATATAGACCTGGAAGAATCATTCATTGCTTTTTGCAGAAGTCACAGTATCATTTAAATCAGAATAGGTAGAGTACAACTAATAAAACACAGACATTTTGACATGAGAAACAAAATCTTCTCCAAAACAGTTCTCCCTCCAACCCAACCCACCATTTTCCACACTGCCTGCCATTTTTAGGAGTTTCCTTCACATGGTTATGCTCCAATGAGCCATTCCCAACAGCAGTCACAGACACAGACTGAGTCGGCTTTTAGATTATTAGATCAGATTAGATACTTAGTGGGATTCTTTCATGCTCAGGTGAATTATTATGGTTCATGCTCAGGTGTACCTATAATGCAGGAATTCTGTTTTACTTTTATGCACCACAAAAAATACAGCTACATGGGATGGAAGAAGTGATAGCTAGTGAGGTAATAAGTGTCTGTCTATCTGGGAGCAAGAGTACTCAACAGAGGGGCAGAAGGATCACAGGTGATAAAAAGACCACCTTATACAGTTGCCCATGAACAAGAAGGAATCAAACTTTTTGAGAACATATTCAATAGGAGGAATGGAGATGTTGGAAAAATAACTGATAAATTCTTCTGAGTAGTGATTAATACTTTAAAAACCCATATCATAAGTTCTAATGTAATTATTATTTTGGTTGGCATTGACTACTTTCAGAATCACCTGTTCTTTTGGCTCCTAAACTTTTATGCTAAATATGGTATTAAGAAAAATGATAACAAGCCTTGGAAATTCTCATTAGCTAATTCTTTAGCAGTGGACTTTCATAAAAAACCCTCTGGAGTACTGATTCATCAAAAAGTGTTCCAGGTTCATTCTAATTCAATTTATCATGTTTGAGTTGCTCAGCTATATATAAATGAATGTTAGTATTATCATTATTAATATTATTATTATTAAATCTTAAAGTTTGTTTTTGAAATAAAAGTTGATTTTGTCCTAAAGTGTTAAAGCTTTTTCACACATACAAAAATCTGTGACTTGGAGTTTGGAAATTTACTTTGCAGTCTGGGAGCTCCTAGATAACTTAGATAATTTTAAATGCAATTAGTACTTTCAGGCAATTGATGTTAGACTATCATTTTTCATTCTTTGGAACATCCGGCTGGGTATTTCACAATGCCCCCTAAATAACTTTAAAAATGTTATTTACAAAATTGTCTGCAGCCTCTATTCTCTCCAATTAGAATGTCTAACACAGAAGTCACACAACATGCAATTTTATGACTTCTGATTTTTAAATGTCTCTCCAGAACTTATGTATCAAATTCAAAAATTTCTCCCTCAAAATAGTTATCTTTTAACACATATTTTGTCTCAAATATAATCTCACTAATTGTCAAGGTCCAAATACTAGGACAATGCTGGACATGTAAATTTAGTAAATATTCTACACCTGAAGGTCCATAAGTGAGTATGTGAATGAGCAAGTGAGCAACTGATAAAAGAATTGATAAGAGACTTTAGAACCTACCTTTGAGGACTGCCTTCCAGCCAGTAAAACTCCCATTGAAAACTCCATCTTAATGACAAAGCTTTGTGGTTTGGGGTGAATTTGATTGGAAAAGAGTCAAAAATCATTTAGATTAAGTTTTGGGAATAAGAGACACAATCCAGCAGGATAAGGACACTTAAGGCAATAAAAGGCATGATCAAAATATTGCAAGTCTGACTTTCTCACAGTTGGGCTCTGAAGGAAATTCAGAAATGATTTGAGCATCATCAACGGCTCTGAACTAGGCATACCAACTCCAGAGTGACTGCTTTGATGGACTATGCTTATTTGGGTATAAAAACTGGCATGCTAATTTTCTGTTTCTCTAATCGAGCTCATACATTTATGTAAGGTTACATAATATTTTTAAATGCAATTGGAGTAAAGGTCTTATAACCTTATTCTAATCTTAAATGGAAAAAAAAATCTCATTTTTTCCATCCATAAAAGGAAGGCTTAATCTAGAGGATTTTTGCAGAGTCTTCCAGTGTTGACATTCAATAATTCTATAAACGAATAGACTAGATATTGTTCACACATCTTTAAAAACTCTCACTAACATTTCAGAGGCTTTGTATGGAAGAGAACTGTCCCTTAAACAATCACAAAGCCTTCAGGGAAATCATGCTTTAGGCTGTGAACTGCTAGGTGCTTGGCCGCTGTAGTAAGATGAATGGGACACACCTCTCTTTCCCTCCCTGCCCTCTCTCTCCTCTCTCCCTCTCTCTCTCTCTCTCTCTCTCTCTCTCACACACACACACACACACACACACACACACACTCCTCTGTCCCATTAGCAGTAACCTATCTGTCCCCAAACGGGGGCGATCATAGAAGTCCAAATGGTAGTTCACATTCATGTGCAATCAGTACATACAGAGTAAAGCTGGTCTTTAAAATAAATATCAACTTTTCACTAAGTAGTTACAACTTCAAAAATGGAAGAAATGCCTTCAAATGGAAGTATGATTGCGGGCTTCAGGATCTCCATCTTGCGATTATGTCCAAAATATTTTATTCTGTAAATTCCTGGCTGGACTGTGTCTGGAATATGCCATTCTACGGTTGCATTGCTCCGACCCAGAAATCCCTTGTGCCAATAAAATCTGTTGGTAGAAAACAAATAAGAAAAACACCATTTTACTCTTAAAAATGTGTGATTAGACACATTTGACTGCACATATGGTACAACACTGTGTACAACCAGAGAAATGAAAAGTTGTGCTGCAATTGTGTACAATGAATCAAAATGCATTTTGCTGTCATATATACCCAATAAATAAATTAATTAATTTTAAAAAGTATGATTAGTAAAAGGGCTGGGAATGTAGTAGCTCAGTGGTAAAGCACTCCTGAGTTAAGTCCCCAGTACCAAAAAAAAATTTGTGATTATTCATTCAATGAATATTCAAGCAGTGCCTACATTGAGCAAGGCTCTATTCTAGACATTGAGGATATAACACTGAACAGAATAGACATAAATGCCTATTTTCTAGAAGAAAACAGCTATTTGTAGAAATATCTTTACTTCTATCCTTCTAACTACCTAAACTCTGTCCACCCCAGGAAGCCTTCCATGATCATCAGAACACAGATGTCCCCTGTTTTAAATTTCTATAGCATCCTTTTTGTCCTTATCAGACTCTGATACTTCTTTTCATATCAATTTAGTTGTTTAAAATGTATATTTTGAGACATAAGAGCTAAAGATACAGTGGTGAGCAAGATAAAGATGGTTTAAAGGATTGTTTAAAGTTTCATGAACCTAACATTTTATTGGTGTAGGTATGGGAATAAAGGTAATAAACCCATACATTTTAGAATTTCGAGAGTAATAAGTGCAACAAAGACAATAAGACTAAGACACTTCTCTAAGGAGTCCTCATTTACACTGAGTCCACACATGCCTGGAGGAGGAAAATCAAAGTGAATACAGAGAATACAAAGTGCCCAAAGAAGAAAATAATTTGCAGTGGCCAAGGAACAGAAAAGAGGTCTGCAGGAACAGTTAACTGGGCAAGAGTGGTGAGATAAGAGAAACATGGGCTCAGATCTACGCAGAGACCAGACCCTTTGTAAGAAACACAATGGCATAACTAGCCAATCCCTCAGCTGTGCAGAAAGTAAATACCTCGGGCACAGAGGGTATGATCAACGTTCTGTGTGTCTCAGTGACTGCCTTAGTGCTCCCCATAAATATTTGACCAAACTACCCTGATGAACAAAGCAGAGGTCTGAACATATCCTCAGTGCTGACAGGTATTCTAGTTTAGCTTTTGAAAATAAATCATCCTTTCTTGTTATCACTATAACCATTTTCTAACAATAAATATGTATTGTTTAAAAACTGCCTATATTTTAGATTCCTACACACCAAAGAAAACCCATGCCTGTATTTGTATGTCATGGTTTAGATACAAGGGGTCCCCCAAAAGCTCATTTGTGAGACCATGCAAGAAAGTTTAGAGGTAGAATGATTAGATTTTGAGGAATGTAACCTAATCAGTGGATTAATCTACTGATGTAGATTAACTGGATGGTAATTGTAACAGGTAGGGTGTGGCTGGAGGAAGTATATCTCTGGGGATATGCCTTTTGAATTAATATTCTGTCTCTGGTAAATGGAACTCTTTCTGCTTCTTCTCTCTGTTTCCTGGATGTTCTGAGCAGATTTCCTCCAAGCCCCTATTCCATGATGCTCTCCCTTACCTCAGGCCCAAAGCTATGCAGTTGGCCAACCATGAACTGAACATGTAAAACTATCAGCCAAAATAAATTTTTCCAACTCTTAAGTTGTTCATATCAGGTCTTTCAGTCACAGTGACACACAAAGCTAACTAAAACATTATATATAGCTATCAAAAATACCACAATATGATAAATCCTTATTTTTAGTTAACCATGTGAACCAAACCAGCATGCAAAGAATTACTTGGTTTAAAACAATCTGAATCAGACACAAATTGCCAAATGCCACATTTTATGGTGTGAGAGTTATAGACTTTAGAATAAAAATATTTTCTTATTTCAGACACATTGTCAAAATCTTAAAATTATCTATTCAGCTCAAGAATCTGGTAATAAAAGACACTGAAATGTATGTATTTCTCTGAAGGAATGCCATGAGCTTATTACCTCTTTTCTTGCATCTATAAGAATTAAATGTAATTAATTAAATTAAATGTAACTTCTTAAGTTTCAATAGTTCAAATAAAGAATTACTGGCCATACACAAACAAGCATTACAAGTTGAAAATAGACTTGTTCTTTACCCAATAGGAACATTGAGCTCTGTAGATACATCTCCACTCCCTCAACCAAGATCCCTTTCAACCAATCTGCAAGAAGGTTAGTCAATTTTTTAAGGGTAATACCTGTAATCATGGAAAGAAAAAAACTGCCAAGATGTCTATAAGACAGGAGCCATAACCTCATTAGCACCTAACATTGTAGAAGCACACACCACACCATTTTGTCTAAAAAAATCAATTAAATAAAGCCAGAGAATCCTGGGGACTTTGATACCATAAATACCATATGGAGTCATTCTTCTCATTTGCCTTTCCTGCATTACTAACCAACTCTTTTCGAGGCTTTACACATATACAAAGATAAAATATTCCATAGTCATGCTCACCGAGTCTCCCAGGAGGCATCATTATACATTATCTGCCACGCTGCTGTAGTGTTCTCATATTTCTCCACAGTGAGGAAGGTCTGGTGGGTCTGAAATGCAATTAACATAACTCATCAGGCACTGAACAGTCACAAAAAGGATCCTTTCTGTACTAAGACCTTTTGATGACCACATGTCAACCTTGTATGAAAATGTATTTGAATTTCATCTGAATTCTTAAGCGTTCCGCTTAACCTATGCCATAGCCTCATAATGTTAACTTATCCAGTCTATTAAAAACCAAGACATTTTTAGAAATTTGAAGGAAGTGTAATTATGGAGCTCAAAGCAAATTTTGGAGGTTAGAGCTGAAAAGAAACTCGAAATAAAACTTGGAGACTTTAAAAAAGGCATAAGTCAAGGCTTCTCATGACGTGTCTCTTGATCTATATTCTAAAGCTTTCTCTAGTTGCCTAGTGATTTAGGAGGGAAAATGGAAAAGTTTCTTCATCTCTCCATCTCCAAGTGAATGAATTATTAGTTACAGCACCTCCCTGAGTGAAAGCGCTGAAAATAATATATTAAACCTTCCCTGTCCTGTGGTGCTAAAGGCAGTCCCTCTATTTTGTCATAATGGATTCCCATAAACCATATCATAAGCAGATTTTATTTCCCTATTGGAAGATCACTGTAACACAGCAATCTGTTTCAGACCAAGAATTCAACTTCAAATAAAGTACAGATTTGAATAATATGACAAGCTATTCAATGCAAAGACCGTAAATCTTCAATTTCCCTCAAAATCCTTTGGACTGTGACCCTTAAAGATAGGACTTGTGCTTAATTCAGCTTTATCCATCATAGTCTTTACACCTGTCATTTACCAGAGCTCAAATAACCCTTTATTGAATATACTGCTTACTTACACTGAGCCATGTAATTATATTAAATTCTTTTCTAATTATTCAACTGATGGATTGCATTCAATAAAGAAGTTTTCATAACCATAGTAATTTGTAAAGAGAACTGTTTCTGTATAGTTAGGACCTGTTAACTGTTTCTTTTTTTAATGTTTATTTTTTAGTTTTAGGTAGACACAATATCTTTATTTTACATTTATGTGGTTCTGAGAATCGAACCCAGTGCCTCATGCATCCTAGGCGAGCACGCTACTACTGAGCCACAACCCTAGCCCAGGACCTGTTAACTTTTTCTGTTAGTTGGGAAGGCCTTAGATGAAGAAGGAGATACCATGGATCCTAATTACTACATCTAGAATACCAATTTGAAAACTAGTAGAAGCCACCAAACATTGGGGACAAAACACGGGTATCATAAACTATTCCAGATGCATAATTAGTTAATCTTTCTAGGGTTTAGTTTTCTCATCTATAGATTAAGGACAGTAAAACAATGTATTGGGCAGTAATGAGGATTAAATGAGATTTACATGATGAGGCATATAAAGTACTTAGGCTAGTAGCTACTACTAATAAGCATGCATTAAATAGTAATGATGATGATATAATGATTATTAAAAATAAAGGGTACTAGAAATTGTTTTGCACAAAGTCCCTGAGCATTCATAGAAATTAATTCTATTCTCATTATAGTTTTTACTCATTTAAGCATTTTGTTCTCCTGCTTCTCCATGGCATTAATGATGACAGTGCTTCTCTACCTTAAGGATATAGGATGACAGCTAAGCCCGATATAATGTTCCAATATCTTCAGAAAATAATATTATAAGCATGTTAATATCCTTGTATAGCTTGATCTCCCAGTGAAATTATTTCAAATAGGTACATATTTACTATTCAAGCAGAACACTACCCCCAATCTCATATTTGACAATGTCATAGGGCCACAATGGTTATCATGGCTATACCAGCATTTTAAAAGGAAAGCTCATTTAGAAGAAAGGTATTTTAGATTATAAGTGACTATGGACCCTAGGCAAATGGCTCATGGATAAAGCAAATACATTCTTAGCCCCGTAAAATATACAACCTTGAAATCATTTTCATATGCCAATTTTGTTTTCCTCTACGGATTTATTCACTGTTTAAATTTTTGCAACCAGAATGTATCCCATTATTACTTGTGTGGTTATTAAGACTATCCTAAGGAAGCCATAGAAGAGTAAGATTACTTCATTTTATTACTAGATACATTGTATATGTGAATAATTTATCATATATGTCATGAAAAGAAATTTTCATAATCATAGCAACTTATAAAGAGAATTTTTCTGTCTAGTTAGGGCCTATTAACTGTTTCTGTTAGTTGGGAAGGCCTTAGATGGAGTAGGAGATACCATGGATCCTATATGAAAGTCTATATCCTATAAGAAAGTCTAAAATGCTATGTTATGACCTCTTAATAGTACACTTCCTCTGAAAAGCAGATTTATAAGAAGAAGGGTACTTTCACTTTCTATTTTATATACTTCTACAGTGTTCATTTTTGCATTGTACAAGTGGTTCTGATGCCATTTTGCAAGATTAATAAATAAGCACCCTGTTAGTGCCAGCAGTCAAGAGTAGGGAATAGTCAATAAAAAGTAAAGTAAAGCCCGTGGGTCAGAACCCACACCCACAAGGCATCCACCCAGGGATCCGTAACCATCCCCCAGCAAAGGAGGTGGGACCAGGGGCAACAATACTAGAGAAGAAGGAGAGGCCCACAGAGGAGGGAGACAGAACTAAGGACACAGTTCACTTGCTTGGCCCTTTAATTATTTTGACAAATTATTGGAGTTCTAAATATGAGTACATAAATGAGATTGTGTTCAAACATCATCTAAAAAGACAACACAGTCCTATATGAACTGTGCCATATGTGTCCTAAGTAGAGCCAGGTTAGATGTCTCCTGTGTACTGTTTTTCCAGACTCCATTTCACATTAACTTTATCCACCGCATATTTTCCCACCTCAAAAAATAAGATGCAAAACAAGTTTGCACGTTTTTTCTTTATGTTGTGAACCTTTAAAAGAATTTAAATTTGTAAAGACAATTGATGCTTACCCGGTTTTCTGCTGAATTCTTTGGGTTAGCACCTACAAATGTAACTTCAGCAACTTCTCCCTAGAAATAAAAATTTCATTTAGTGAGCTCTAATAAAAGAATTTTTGCTGTACTCATATTCAAGTCATTATCTACTATATGTTCTGGATGCCTATATAGATTCTTTTCTATTTAATCACATGACTACCTTCTAAGAAAAGGATGAGAAATACCCTTGTAACAATGAACATGGGGTCAATGAATTTTCTTTTGGTAGATTCAGATATAGATGAAATTTTCTCATGCCTCCCTCCCACACATACCCAGGAAATGGGCTGAATCAAATAAGAGGAGTTAAAACACTCCATGTATGACTTATCTTATATTTCTATAAGATGGAGTCTCTGGGTGTGCAGTACTCTACCACCTGAAATAATTTAAAAACTGAAAAGCAATCCCCGAGTGGTAGAAAACAAGGAATGTAAGCTCTACAATTGTGTAGAGATTCTGACCGTGGAAATATATAGGAAAGCGTTCCCCTGGTGAGCAAACTCCTAGAGGGTAACAAGCACCCTGTTTCCTACCCTTAGAATGCCCTGCAATCTTTCTTAGGATCTAGGAACATAGCTAATATATGTGCAATGTCTATCTGGCATGGCAATGCCCTGAGATGCCTCTGTGTTAGAGCCTCATCAAGCCTCCACCTTGATTGCAGGCACATAGCTCCTGGGAACAGAAGAACTTATTTGCTAGATAACTACAGTGTTTCACCAAGCTCCAGTACTCCTGGAACTACCAGCCTAACAGTAACTTCACACAATGGACTTTCTTGAGAACTGCACAAAGCTCCTAACATTGCATATTGTAACTATGAAATGTAAGTGCACAATAAGCAACCTTATTGATACTCTAAACAATAATGTGGTTATGGTACTAATGACCTAATGTAACCTATTGGTATAAATAAGCATGGCTACTTGGACACCGCTCTGCCAACTTCCCTGCCTCTGTGCCTTGTCTCTTCTTTATTATTATTATTCTTTAAACAATTGCTCCAAGTTAATGCCTTCAGAGTTTAAAAGCCATAACACAAAAAGAAATTCAAGTCAAGCCAGGGAGTCTACCTAAGTTGAAGATATGGAGGAGGGAATTCAGGAAGGCTGAATAAGTTCACAGCTTAGAGTACCAGAGAGCAGAGTACCATAGAAAGGAGAATTAATGGGGCAGGGAAGGGTGAGAACTCAAAGTTTGCAGAAGGCATAGTTTAAGTGCACAAGCATGCAAGGGAGCTACCTGAAACCAGAAAAGATTCACCTGAAAGAATTAGGTGGAAGAATCCCCAGGTTCACATGGAGTTGTAAAAAGTTCTGTTTCCATCAACCAGATTAGAAAACTTTATAATTAAGAAGAGCTTTACCTCAGTGGGATAGGGTGAGGGGTAGGGGAGAATGGATTTGCCCTAGACTAAAAGTTTTTCTGGCCCTTCCTAAAAAGCTTAGTAATAAATAAAACCATAGATAAAAGCAATACAACTAAAATCTAGTTCTTTGAAGACACAAATTACTGAAATCAGGAAGAAATAGGAGGCAATATTATCAACCCTAGAGAAATTAAAAGGATTATAAGGGAATATTATGAATAACAAATTTTATATTGTACCAACAACTTAAACAACATAAACAAAGTGGGAAAGTTTCTAGACAAATGGAAATTGCTAGAAAGATAAAGATTACTAAAAAGAAAGTTAAATTCTAGGGAAGACCTATAATAGACTCAAAGGAAAAAAATAGAATATTTGAGTAGGCTTATAACAAGTACAGAAATTAAATAAGTAATTAAAATTATTGGCATAAATAAAAGCCCAATTCCATAGACTCTTGCAGATAAATCTAATCAAATATTCACACAAGAAATGACACAAATAATCTTCTGCATGCTTTTCCAGAAAATATAAGAGGACATGCTATCCAATTTTTTCTTTGCAACCTCTGCAGACAAAGACAATGAACAAAAGAAAACTACAAATATCCCTCATGGGCAAAGATATAAAACTCCTTAGCAAAATATCAGCAAATTAGTGTCAGCAACAGGAAAAAGCATGAATACGCCATGATGAAAGAGTATTTAATATCTGAAAATCAGTGCAATATACCATTTTAATAGAGTAGAAAGCAAAAACAAAACAAAACATGATCACCTCAGTAGCATCTGCAAAAATCCAAAACCCACCACAAGTAAAAATTTGAACAAATGAAGCATCAAAAAGAACTATCTCAACCTGATAAGGTCATATACAAAAATCCTAAAGAAAGTGTCATATTAAATGAGGGAAACACTGAATATTTTTCACCTAAGATCAGAAACAAAGCAAGGATGTCCATTCTCACAACTTTATTCACCCTTGTATTTGAAGGTTTTAGACCATTCAACAACAACAAAAACAAAACAAAACAAAAAAAAGTGAAGACATCCAGAAAACATACACAGAGCTATTTTTTAAAAATTGACATGATACTATATGTTGAAATTCCTAAGGAATCCATACCAAAACAAACAAACAAACAAACAAGAAAACCCACCTATTGGAAATGATTTAGCAAGACTCTGTAGAGCACACACTCAACATAAAACGCACAGGTAAAGATCCTGCTTCATTTCCATATGCTTGATTTAAAAGACATATTCTCTCAGCGCCAGCAAATGGTTATTTCACCATCCATTTAAGAAAAAAATAATATTTTATAGTATAGAAATCTAATTTTACATAATTACCCCCGGAAAAATAAAAACATTTCCCATTCTCTTTACTTACGTTATTACAGAGTCTCTACAGAAAATAACTCTCAAAATGATCACTGGTAAAGCTGCCCTATGGTATGATTAGTAGTAGGTTTTAATATTAAACAATATCCTTCCCTTCACCTCCAAAAACATGTCCTCTTAAATATTTTAAAACATCTCTCTGAGTCTTACCACTCTGTATTTAGGTTTCACTGGCTCTAGGACATCTCCAAAATTTCTGCCTATTGGTGGTTTATCCTCGATATTAGGAATCAGTGGGATAATCAGTTGTTTGAAAAATGGAGGCTCTGGACCGCTGCTCATGTTGGCGACTGTATCCTGAAACAGAGAGCATTTGCTTAAGGAACACAATGTGGAATCAAAGATCCTTTTAGACATCCATCTCCAGAAATAATGCTTTCATTAAAGGAAGTGCACACACACACACACACACAGCTAACAACCTTTAACAAAATGTGAGCCTGGATGACCATCATTTATATTTTGCCATTAGAAGAAAGTTTTGGTCAGAGGTTTCTGTTTTATTCCCCTGAGAAGTGTAGTACAGGGATCAGAGAGGAAGCTTGTAAGCACAATACTCAAGTTTAGATTCTGGGGCAGCCATTTTTAAATTGTGTGGCCTTAGGACAAGAGCTTAACACATGATAAGCCTTCATAACATGACACTGGAATTGTTCTCTGAATCTACAAAAAGTGTTGAAACTCTCCTAGAGTCAGTACCAATTTTCCTTCTGAATTTTTGTCTATAACAATTAAAGAAAATAATAAACACATTTTAATTTAAAAATTTAAGATCAGTTGACATCCTCACTGGTTTAGTCTCTTTTCCACAAAATTTACCATTTCTAATAGTTTCCTCAGAATGTGAATCTCAAACTTAATAGCTCTTGGTATATATTTAATGTTATTTAACCTTCACAATGTGTATTTATCTTTACAACAGCAATATGGGACAGGTATGTATTACCATTCTCATTTTGAAAGTGAGAAAATAGACTTGAAGACAGTCATTTTTTCAAGATCACATAGGTAGTCTTAAATGTGCTACTGTAAAGGAGATCAAATTTTCACAGACTGAACTAGTTTTCTTCACTAAATAAACTCCATAATTGAAGAATTTGTTTCTGTGAGAAGAACTAGAAATCTCTGGCTACAACCAAAGTTACCCAATAGTTCTTTCTAAGGATAGGTTATAGGTTTATATTTTTATATAATTTACATACTCCACAAGTAGTTTTAGCTTTTATAATAAAAATGAAAGTACAAATAATTTTACATCAAAAAAGTAACACAATTAAACTGAGAAACTATGATAAAATAAAAATCAAGTAATTTTTTAAGGGTGGAGTACCAGGGATTGAACTCAGGGCACTCAACCACTGAGCCACATCCCCAGCCCTAATTTGTATTTTATTTAGAGACAAGGTCTCACTGAGTTGCTTATTGCCTCACCATTGCTGAGGCTGGCTTTGAACTTGCAACCCTCCTGTCTCAGCTTCCCAAGCTGCTGGGATTACAGGTGTATGCCACTAAAGACATGCAAAGTAAACACAACATGCAGAAATTTTTATACACAATGAGAAACAAATGGCAGAGGCATATGAAAGTGCCAATATTTGATCAATTGTACCTACAGGACAGCAATGTCATCTATTCCTATATCATATATCCAAGCTCTTTCTTTCAAAAGGCCTTATTGTCTGTGCTTCACCACAATCATTTTACAGCTTTTATAGAGGCTTGTATGTTATTATATAAGGGTCTATTGATCATTTAAAATCTTTATCCTACTTGTTGACTAATCTGGTACCACAGGTGCAGCTTCACAATTAACTGTATCCCAAAAGAACGATTTCCACAATTAAAGTTTCTTTAAATTAAGTAAACTTGCTCAGTTGTATATATTTCAGGTAGATGCACTTCCAAGGTAGTGTGCATCCCAAGGTGATACTGTGTTTCATAAAATCTAAGCATCCACTCACAATAATGACCTATATTATGTTTTTAATCACCAAGATAGTAAAAAAAAAGTGCTATTAATTATAATGGTAAGATTTCTCTGATTAGAAGATACACCCCAGTTTTAGAGATGTTATAATGTGGAAAATTGGCATCCTACAATTGATGCACTACTCAACTCTTGAAGTGAGTCAGAGAATCTGGCAAGGATAACAGAGCACTGGTCCAACATCCAAATATAATTATAGTAGGCCTGAGACTTATCTTTGAGCCTTTTTGCTCATCTTAAAAATGAAAGCAAACAATATCTTCTTCTCATGATAATTGTGAGAATGAAAAAATTAAATATAAGAAAAAGATGCCACCACTAAAGATGTTAACTGAATTTGAATTTTACTATCAGTAAAATGTTGGGTTTTTTTCTTAAGAAATATCACAAAGCTATGTTCCTTGTAGGGAACCCTGTATGTATTTCAGGTAGATGCACTTTTTGTTTAATATAAAGGTTGTCAAAGAAACTGAACATATGAAGGTAATGTTTTCTCTTTCCTCCCTCTATACCTCCTCCCCATGAGGCAAACATGCACACACACACACACACACGGCGGGTATTTAATTACTGTTGCAATGGCTTTGGCAAGGCCTCTGAAGAGCTGGATATAAGCAGACAGAGTATGTGGTCCATAAATTGTAGATGCTGCTTCATACCGCTGAGCCTGCAGAAGCAAACAGAGATATAGACAGTTCTGCATATTTCAAACAAACCATTCACAGAGGTGTAACATTTTAGGTTGGATATCCACATTATTAAAAATCAGCCTCATCTTCAATATTATTTAGAAAAAAAAAAAGAATGTGGGCATTTCCATTTACCAGCCCAAGTAAATGAGTCTCATAAGTTACTCATTAAAGACTAGGGCAGAGGGGTGGGAGGGGAAGGGAGAGGTCAGGGGGTTAGAAATGATGCTGGAATGTGTTGTACATCATTATCCAAAGTACATGTATGAAAACACAAATTGATGTGGATATACTTTGTATACAACCAGAGATATGAAAAATCGTGCTCTATATGGGTAATATGAATTGTAATCCATTCCACTGTCATATATAAAAAATTAATTAAAAAGGCCATTAATGACCATTAATATCTCTGCTTATACCATTGATATTACCACTCCATTCAATCTGAAAGAGGGTACCAGCTCTTGAGCTTGTGTTTGTGAAGTGATTTTCCCAAGAGCACACATCAGGAGAAAAAAAAATAGGGTTAAAATAGTTATAGTAACTCCTGGATCAATTAGGTATTAACAGTCCTCTCTGGAGAAGGAATTTTAACCCAAGCAGCACTAAGAATGAGAGTCAAAAGGCCCTCTCTCTACCTGAGCACCAGGCCTTTGGTTGTTCCACAGGACCCTCGCCATCATCAAATACAAAAGGGCACACCGCATTCCAGACCACCAGTCTTCCTGGCAACATTCTGCATCCCAATAAATGCCATCCTTCCAGATTCTCACACAAGGATCCTCTGATAGTCAACTTACACTCTTCTTTCTCCTTCATCCTACATCCTCTAAGACTCCAAATCATGTCATTCTCCCTCTTTTAAAATTTCTTGAGTCTGTCCATTTTCCTGTGCCTTCAATTCTTGTACAAAACCCACATCTCTTTCCAGATCTTAGCTACAACTTCATAATCAGTTGTGTCTCTATACGTGGCCTTCACATTCATTCTCCACACTGTTATCCTACGTCCTTTCTAAATCACAGAATAGACTGAAGCATTCCTTTGCTTGAATCCTACTGCATTTCCCTAGAGCCTTCCTTACTGAGCCAAAGCTCTGTTATGTTACACTACACAGATGACTCTCCATCAACTAACCCCTGCCCCCGTCCTAGCCCTTGTCTCACCACCACCCTCAACATACTTACTCCAAACACTCACTAATTATGGTCCACTAATGTGCTAAGTCTGTCCCTCTGGTCCTTTGTGTGTGTTCACTCCCCTCAATATAGAACACTTTCCTAATTTTATTTGTTTGGCGAACACTCACTTTTTCTCAATAATTCAGACAAAATGTTACATCTTCCAGTCTCTGTCCTCAAATACACACACTAGACTAGTGCTCTTTCTCCTTGTTTTTGTATCACCTGCGCATACCTTTCACAGAAATGGGATCATCTGTTCTCTTTCTACTAGATATTAGCTTCCAGTGGTCTTGAAGGCAGGAACGGAGTCTTTTTATTGTTATATCCCAGAAAGTGACTAGTACAGCATCTGTTACTAGTACTTATCTGTTTGATTATTTAATGACTTCATAGTAATCCTTGCAGGTCCACATCCCCTGGACCAGAAGACAAGCTGGTAGGGGTTCTCAACTTTGTGCCATAGACTCCTTTGGCAGACTGTTGGATCTATGGACCACTCTTAGAATAGTGATTTTAAAATAAAATAACATGAGATTGACAAAGGAAATGAATTAGATTAAAATGCATTTATCTAACTATAATAACCAATTTTGCTAGCCAGTATGCTTTGTTATGCTATTGAAACACAAGATCTAATAGCTACTACTCTGCTTTTACAATAGAGAAAGGAATAAAAGATATTTCCAGATCAGCAATCATTTTATGTCATATTAAAATATCTGTGATTACTATTGGTAACAAAAACAGAGGTATTTGCTAATATTATTGTTGTTTATTATATACAGTCTTAATAATGGTGAAAAAAGAATGTAATCATCCCTCTCCTAGTTTGCCTAGTTAAGAACTCATATTCAAAAATGCCATAGTTTGGATCTGGAATGTCCTCCAAAGGTCTATGTGGTAAAGTATTGGTCTCTATCAAGGTGCTCTTGGGAGATGGTAGAACCTTTCAGAGGTTAGACCTAGTAGGAGGTCTTGTGGTCATTGCAAGCATGACCTGGAAGTGGACAGTGGGACCCCAGCTTTTCCTCTCTCATTTTTGCTTCCTGGCCATGAGGTGAATGACTTTGCTCCACCACACACTCTTGCCATTGCCCTTCAGCACCCCTACCATGAATCAGGGGGTCCACCCAGTCACAGACTATGAGATGTCATAAACCTTCCTCTTTAGAAGTTGATTATCTCAGGTGTTTTATAGTTTCAGAAAGTTGAAAGGCATAAACAGGATTTTTACAAGTCAGGGACCTTCAGCAAAGCCAATGGAGGGCCACAGAGTAGATTTCACTTCTGGTATCACCATGTGCATCTGTGTGGATTACCATGATATAAACAGCAGGTGTATATTAGAAATCATTGGTTGTGGAACTCTTGACTGTTTTAATGTGTTTACTATAAATAAAAAGTACTTGGGCTGCTTTCTGGACTATTTGTAAACCAAGAAGCAATACCAGAGACCAGCTCCCCTAAAATCTCTTTCTTCTTAATCTTCATTGCAGATATAATAATACCCTACCTTAGCACATACTGCACAGATTACTTAGATTACATTTGCAAAGTGCCTAACTAATAACTAAGTAGCTGCTGTCAGTGAGAGTTTTCCCAGGTTCTGCAGAGGCTTACAGCACAAAATGCACTATGGATAGTTATTTTTAAGCTTATTACCAGTACCCCTGACAAAGTCATTTTTTCTAGGTAAGGTGTAAGTCAGTGAGATTAGAATTCTGACCTGAACTTGGAAATTATGAACCTGGAACTCCAAAATACAACCTCTGGCTGATCATTAGCTTATATTCCCCACCTAAAACAAAATCATCCCTCAGAAACATGATTGCAGAAGTTTAGGAAGTGTACATAGGACACAATAGTCTTGGCCAGAATGTAATTCATGTAAATGATGAGAGCTTTTTACTTTACCTGGTATTCTTCATAAGTGGTAATATAATGTGAATAAACATTGCACAGACCCGAAATGATAATAGTCATATTCTTCATTCCATAAGATGCAAATTCCTAGGAGGAAAAAGTAGAGTCCAGTAAAATTATTCTCCATCTTAAAGTTATTATCATCCCAGACTAATGGCTCCAGAATGGTGATCATTATGGTGATAAGGGTAGGTGGTGCCAGTGTGGATGCTGGTGTGGATGTGATTGATGATGGTAGTGGTATCATGTAAAGACTATTTTATATAGAACTGAATGCGCAATCACTTATGTGAATTTCTATCGTAAGATGTGTCTCTTAACAACAATTTTCTCAATGAGCAAAACTGTCAAGGAATGCAGAAGTATCAGAGTCCTTGATGAAAAGTTAGCAACGTTAACTCTGCACTACAGTTGGGTATGTCAATGACCCTCTGAACATATTAATGGTCACATTTTGCAGATGTAAAGTCTAGTTATTACTAAAATAAAGGGCTTTTTAAAAATCAATATCCTAAAAGATATAATGAATGGATGGGATGGATGGCTAACCTGATAGTTATTTACAGTTCCAAGTAACAACACATCTATTTCTATGTCATTTTATATGCCATTTATAATAGTTTCCAAATATAAAGGAAACCACAAATATAGATTAAAAAACAGAATGCCCAAAATGTAATAAATTTTATTTATACCATTTATAAAGTTTAAAATAGTAAGTTTAGGGATTATTTACTATTTAATCCATATAACTGTTATCAACTTTTACATTATTTAAACATAAATACATATAAAATATGTATTTAACTGGATAATAATTTCCTTGTATTTTTAAAGTCTAGTTCTTACACCACCCATATTAATCTCTAGCCATTAATTTCAAGAAGTATAATATTCTAGCCATCAGAAAAAAATAATTTAAAAGACATAGGGAATTCTTTCCTCTTCACCAAATATGAAAGTCTGGAATTTTATTTCATATTTAACTTACTGCTTGAACTGCCTCTCGAAGTCTTCTTCCAGACATGGTCCTAAGTCAAGAAAACAGAATTATGTAAACGTTCTCCTATTCAGAATGTGTACAAAGTGTACAGAGAGACTTCTAGTAAAAATTTTAAAGTGCCCTGGCTCAGATCATATAACAGTGAAGTATGTAGGAACTCAATGATGCTACGAAGCTAAATTTGAGGGGGTTTTCCTGTACTGTCCTATCTTCAACAGAAATTCAAACTGACGACAGTCATTTTGATACTAGGGGAGTACAGAATCAGTGAATATCAACAGCAAAAGGTCTTCATCATTATCTACTCATTGATTCAACAAAAAAACACCAAATGTAATCCATGTAAATAAAAGCAAAAGCAGGGAGAAAGTGTACTACTACTATTCCTGCCTATAAAGAACTTGCCATTTGATTCAGATGGTGAATTCTTCAATGAAACATTGAGTACCTACCACAAATACAGCCCACATCTTGGTGCTAATAATTCAGGAGTACAATGTTTACATTCCCGGGAGGAGAGAGGGTCAACAAATAAATAAAAATGTGAGGTGACATAAGCGCTCTAGAGAATAAAGCAGGGTAAAAATGAAAAGGAAGCTTGGTGGTCATGTGGTGACAATGGCAGTGATGCAGGTGTTGATGCAGGAGTTGAGGTGACAGTGGTGGAAGTAACTGTGGATAAAGACTATTTCATATAGTTTGAGCATGACTGACATCCCTGTTAGAGATTTAAGCAAAGGCTTGAAAGAATAAAGAATCTGGCCATGAAGATAACTGGAGGGAATGTGTTGTAGGCAGAAGGAACCATAAGTTTAAAGGCTTGAATCAAGACCATCTTTAGTGAGTCAAGGAAGTGCTTGTGTAGGTCCCTCCATAAGAACACTTTGCCAATGCAAACACACAGGGTAGCTGAAGCAGGGGTGAGCAAGGAAACAGTGGTAAGAAATCCCATCAAAGAGCCTGCAGAGGAACTTGGAGAATATTGTAAAGATTTGATGATTTGTCTGGAATGAAACAGGAAGCTATTGGAAGGTTCATATGTTCTGAAGAGAATATAGAGGAGTAAGGGAATTGAGCAGAAAAATAGGGGGTTATTGAAATAGTCTGAGTGGGAGATAGTAGTAGCCCAGAGAGAAATGATAGAAAGGGTTGTATAGAACGCCCAGAATTTACTGAAGTATTCAAAGAGGAAAAGAAAATTCAGAGATGGGCTCTGAGACATAGGGCCTGAGCAACTGGGTTTGCAAAAAGTGCCACTTACTGAGATAGGAAAGATTACATAGGAAGTAGGTCTAAAGCATTCTTACATGTTTTTAACACCTACATTGATTGCTTCAAGTACTGTATTTTAATATTATTTCAAGGTTTTGTACTGACCCAATAATGCAGGAGGTTACTTTACTTTAGAAATGATAAGTTCATACATTTTTATGATTATTTCAGTAGAACCACCACTAATAGGCACAGATTTATTCTTCAGAGGCCCCACCAAAAGCAGGTAGAAATATTTGTCACTGTTGCCAAACACAGTCGAGTATGATATCAAGAGATTAATACAGAACTGTCTTCCCATGGGAATTAATTCCAACAGAAACACACAATAAACACATTTCTAACTAAATAAAAAGACTTACGTAAACTCCCCTGGGATAGCAGTTATAGCCAAGGACCCAAGAGTAATAATCTGAACATCAACAATATCTGGATGCCAGGGATGAGGTTTTGATAGCTGAGAATCCAAAACAAACAAACAAAAAAAAACAACGTTAGGTATATTATTCTTTCTATGGTCAAAAGACGGGTGGTCAGAAAATTTCCTTTACTATAGTGTTTCAATGTTTCAAGTGAGTTTTGGATTTTTATCCCATCATAGAATTATTTTCAATTTATGATGTGGTATGAGATATATTACATGGGTATTTATGTCCTGATCATAATGTGAGAATCTCAAATGCTAACGCTACAGTAACCTGGACTTAACAATGAAGTTTTTGAGGTAGATGTGTCATTATGAAATCAGAGTGTCCCACAAATATACTAGGGTATTGTGAGTGACTGTCATACACCCATGAATGGAGAATGCCATTTGTTGGTAGTCGGATGTGACAATTTCTCTTCACTGTAACAGCACTTCAAGTTTACAGTTCCTAAGTCTTGCATCTTATTTTCCAAGATTTTGACAAGAGAAGCTACCCTTTTTCAAATGCATATTAGTGTATAGTCTATCGTTCCATTTCCATCTTTCCTCCCTCCTCTCTAAGAATTTTAATTGATTAGAAAAAAAAACTGTTTTAAAGAATATTTCCACCTTGATAATCCATGTTTCTATGAATACCAGAACAGTTTTTTCATATTTAGAATGTAAAAATATATATTCCAAAAGAGTGTTAAAAGATACTTGCTTTTAGTTAATAGTGTTGTCTGAAGTGTGAAATAACTGGGATATGGACATGTCTTTTGTTTGACCTAGATACTTTCCTCTACCGAGAATTCTGTGCAGACTGGCTTCCTGGAGCCAACATAAATGAATAAGATAGTGTTAATCTTATTCTTCCTGTCCACTGTCCTTTTTCATTTATTTATCATAAATGCAATAAGGTAACTCAGTATATTTAATATCATGACCTGAGGTCCTCAGACTTACAGCATTCATATTTTAATATCAAAAATTTTATGTGTGAAATCTAAATGTTATCTCCGATGTCCGTAGATATTTGTTATTTGTTATCTGACAATTAATAAATTTAAAAATAACAAAATATGAATTTCACTATTATAATCAAAAAGTATTACCTCTCCAGTGTGAAGAAGGACTGGCTTTGGTTTATGGCATTCTTTAATTTCTTCTGATGGCTTGCCAAAGATCTGGTCCCGAATGGTGTCCCAAAATGGATCCCCTTCTGTTTTCCCTATTAGAAATAATCTGATTAATATGATCCCTTAAACTAACCCTCTGAAAAAAAGCCATTATATAGATTTAGTTATTCAATTATTTCTGGCAGTTTGAATATCAGAAAAGTCAAACCCCCTGTCCATCACACAATAAGAGCCATTAGTTAGATCCTGAATTTAAACAGGAGAATAAAGGAATATATTTTGTTAAAAAACACTCAAAGTTTTGAGTATATTAACCTTGCTTATTTGTGTTGTAAATAAAAACAATTTGATACAATCAATGGTAGAGCAGTGAACTAAATCATCTCTTTCCTATTTTAAAAAATAAAAATGACTCCCCAACTTACAATACCAGTTGTCTGATGTATGGTCTCTGAAAGAATCTCTCTTGAATCCCCAAACATCTAACACACATACACACACACACACAGACACACACAAACACACATACACACACACACACAGACACACACAAACACACATACACACACACACACACACACACATACCATAAAACTTAAAAATGAGAAAAAAAATGAATAGACATTTCTCCAAGGAAGATGTAAAAATGAGCAAGTACATGAAAAGGTGCAAATCAAAAGCACAATGAGATAACATCCCATACCCACTAGACTAGGTGAAATCAGTAAATCAGAAAAGTTAGAGCACTATACACTGCTAGAATAAATGTAAAACAATATACTGGCTCAAATAAAATCAGAAATAAATGTAAAACAATTTTGCAACCAATTTAGATATAATCTGGCAGCTTCTCATATATTAAATATAAAGTTATTGTATAATTCAGAAATTTCACTCCTACATATGTATCCAAGAAGGAAAAATGAAAACATATACCCACACAAAAATTTGTATGTGAATCTTCATTGAAGCATTATTCATAATAGCCAAAAATTGGAACAACCCAAATTTCCATCAACTGATCAATGTACAAATATCTGGCACATTGACATAGTGGAGTATCATTTAACCATAAAAAGGAATGAAGTACATGCTACAACATAGATGAACTTTGAAAACACAATGCTACGTGAAAGAAGTCATGAAAAAGTGTTATATTATGTAATCCCATTTATATGAAATAGGAAAATACAGAGACAGAAAGATCAGTGGTTGTTTAAATATGGGGAAGATGGGGGTGTGAGAGTAGGATCGCTGAAGTGTGCAGTTTGTTCTGAGGTGATGAAAATGTTCTAAAATTGGGTAAGGATGTGGCTTGGTGGTAGAAAGCTTGTCTAGCAAATACAAGGCCCTGGGTTTAACCCCTAGTACCACAAACAAACTAAAGAAAATATTCTAAAATCAACTACGGTGATGGTTGTATATATTTGTGAATATATTAAAAATCATTGAATTGTATACTTCAAATGGATGAATTGTATGGCATGTGAATCATCTCTCAATAAGTCTGTTATTTAAAAACTAATTGTAGTAAAATATTAAATCAAACTGGATGAATGATTCCCAGGAAATAAGATGTCAAAAATGTCAAGTCTAAACTATATTAATTAATTTTTTAAATTAATGGAGATATATGTATATATATGATGTATGTGTGTCTGCGTATAAGACAAAAATGAAATAAGCCACACTGTTGTGTGTAGGTAATGCACTACAATATTTTCCATTTTATTGCCTTTACGATGCATATTATTATACTGATAGCCTAGATAAAACTGGAAGAGCTAAAATAATATTTCATAAATTTTTGGAACTCCAAGGTAGATCAGTAGAGTAGAAGAAAGAGACCAGAGGGAGGGAGGAAGATAAGGAGATGGGGAGAATGATATTAACCAAATCATATTGTTATATCTTGTCCATTGTACAAATATGGAACAATGAATCCCACCATTATGTACAACCATAATGCACCAATAAAAATAGAGAATAAAAAAATAAAGACCTGCAAAAAACAAATTTAAATATTTTAATACAGGAAGAGGACCTGAGACCATATGCTTTGGGCTTCTAAAAGGCCTCTGTTGTGAGGCATACTGGCTACAATAAAATCAGGGAAACATTAAAATAAAATATGGAAGAACCAATTCACATTGTGGAAAGTTCACATTGTTGAATGACAATTCCCCTCCAGACTCTCTTACTTCTTTCCCAGCCTTGCCCCAATTTAAAATGTTTCCTGTGCACTCACTCCCAGGTTTATTGCAGCACTATTCATAATAGCAAAGATACAGAATCACACAAGAGTCCACCAAGAGATGAATGAATAAAGAATGTGATACATATACACAATGGAGTACTCTTCAGCAATACAAAAGAGTGAAATCCTGTCATTTGCAGCAACATGGATAGACCTGGACATAATAATGTTAAGCAGGATAAGCCAGGCACAGAAAGATAAACACCACATGATTTCACTCATCTGTGGGATTTTTAAAAGCTAAGCTCAGAGGTTATTGGAGGTTGCAGTGGTTACTGGAGGTCATGGCAGGAGGGAGGTATGGAGATATGGAAAGACTGCCTCACAGGTCCAAGGTCACAGCCTGATAGGAGAAAATACTCCTGATGCACTATTACACAGAAGAGTGATCACAACATTGTACTGTATAATTCAAAATAAATAGAAAGCCACAAGACTGGGATCCCAATTAGAATAAGATACACTCCATGTTTGTATAAATATGTCAAAATATACTGACTGTACTGTCCTGTGTATCTAAAAAGAACAAATACAAAATAAAATTAAAAGAATAACTAAAAAGATTCTGAATGTTGCCATCCCAAAGAAATGACATTTGTTTGAGATGGTGGATGACCTAAGTATCCTGGGTTGATGGATATACAATATATCAATGTTCTGAAACAAAAAATAGCATATGTACTGGCTCCTATTGAACCTTATTAGCAAAGACACAGAATCAAACAAGATAGCAAAGCTGTGTGGTTTGCCCCGAGCCCCACACAGAAGCTTCAGAACCTGAGACACAGATTTTGTCCACCTTCACCTCACCCTGTGTAATATTGAGACCTCCAACTCCATCAATTGTGCCGGCCGCAAAACTGTAGCCCAATGCTGGTTTACATGTTTGTGCCTAAAGGAAAGTTTTCAAAAAAGAAAGAAAGAAAGAAATTGAAGTTAAGCTGCAAGTAAATAATTAGATCACCCTAGCCCTTTGCCCTTGTGGCATCATCAGTGTGACTCAGCGATACTTACAGTGTGTGTGGAATTGAGCCAGACGGTCACATCTGTCATATTCACCCACTGGTGAGCCGAAGCCAGTGGTCCAGCCACCTCCTGGGAGGCAGAGGCATACAGTTCCTAGAAACACCACACAGCTTACTGCCCCAAGCCAGACAACAAAGGTGAATGGTTCCCGCAGTACCCAGTAAGCACCAATTTGGAAAAGCATCTCTCACCCATGAGTTACTTTTGTTTTGCTGTATGCTTAGAAATAGCCACTACCTGGATGGTTCTGTCAAACTGAATTGCTTCCCAGAAGCTTAAAAGCTCCAAGAGGGTGGACCTGTGTGTACTCCTCACAAATACAAAATTCTAGTGATACAGGCTGTGGCACTAAAGGCCCCAATCTCATTTGAAAGACAGTCAAGAAAATTTAAGATTAGGACTAGATGAGCCCAAATACTTTCTTTGCTGGAATGAGAATGTATCCTCCTCAGGCAGTATCCTTGTGGGGTCATCCTTCTCAGGATCCTCAGGTCCTCCAGGAATTCAGGTGCCAAGTGGTGGCTTGAAAGAACCCAAGCCCCACTTAATTTGCATCAATTCTGCCACCCACATTCTACCCTCTGGTGATTTTGTTTTGTTTTGTTTTTTAATATGGTCAATGCATGCTTTTACAGTCATGGGAAGTATAAGTCAAAACGTATTTGGAAACGTTTGTGTTTATTCATTTGTATTATACAATACAAGCAAATCCTGTTCAGCACAAGTCCCCTTGTCTTGCACCTAGACATTTCCACTCTGTCCCACCCCTTTCCAACAGCCACATGTGAGCTTTCAGGTAAGTGCTTGGCAGCACTGCTGCAGCCTGCCTCTCCTAATTAAGAGGCAAGTTGTGCCTTGCTGAGAAGAGAATCTAGAATGTGGGCCAAATCTCTATGGCTCCCAGGCCCAGGATGGTAACAAAATTTCTGACACCAAAGTGTGTCGGGGCACACCCCCTAAATAGAATATGTTAATTTAGAATAATCCACTGATAATTCCACAGTGATTAAAAAGAAACTGCAGCAATTAGGCTGGCTGCTGCTACCAATTTTGTGTGTGATGTTTTTTTTAAAGATGCTTTTGTTCTTTCTTAATTGCTCCTGAAACATTTTAGAACTCTGGGAATGAAAAATTTACACATACCAGCATGTGCGCATGCATGAGCATGCACACACCCAAAAGTATGAATAAGCTGTAAAAACAAATGGCCTTCATTCTCTTTATTGGGTCCATGTCAGTTGAGGGGTTATCCTTTTTCTTTCCTCAGAAAGCTGTCTCCATAGAAACTGATTCAAAACATGGGGGCAAAAAGGACGATAAAATTCAGGAGAGGGAGGAGGATAAAATAATGCATAGTAATCTCACTTCAGACCAGATTCTGTTCTTCATCATGAAGTGTTTAAAATATAAAGAAAGAAAAAAAGTAAAGATGGCATGCCTTTGCTCTATCAAGGAAGAGGAGGAACTAATTGGAATCCAAATTGTAAGAGCTGTGCCACTCAGCTTTGTCACCAAAGGACAAGTTCAGAAATGGTAGGATGACTTTGGGCAGGCAAAGAATTGAAAGATTTCCGAGAATTTAAATGGGGCTGGTCCTATGTGAATACACAGTAATTGAAAAGCTTACAATCAATATATCTCCTCTGTCTGAGGCAAGCACTCTGGCTTTCTAAATATTCTGAAATAAAATGTTTTCCTGATAAATTGGTTTTAGATGTACTTCCTATAAAACATCTGACCCAATCAGGCAGAGACAGTTCCTGTGTGGTGCACGAAGACAACCTTCCAAACTGACATCTTCCAGACTTCCTGGCGCAGCCGGAGTTCTTGCTGTCTTCCTTGTGATTATCGACTTCCTAATAAATAATGTCAGTGGACTTAAAAGAACAATTCTAAATGCAGACACAAGGAGCTGGGCCCATGGCTTACCTTTGCTCTCTGGTAAATAGTCCGCCCAATAATTTGTGTGCTGTCAATCATATCTCGTCCAGGTCCCTTAGCAATGCACATTCCGGGCTGGAACAACATGAGAAAAGATGCATCCTTAATGAAATGAGTGATTATTCTAAGGAATGGAAAATTATCACCGAATCTAAGCAAAATAGATTGTTTAAGCTATATTCTAGCATTTCTTTTTAGATAGTCTCTCAAATTATAGACTTAGAAAAAACAAAATCAAACATGGAATTGGAGCAGTGAATGTTTTTAGGAAGTATCTATTCCAGCAACTTAGTTTTAAAAATTAGGAAATTGAGGTTTATGTGGGTTGAAAGACTTGTTGCAGATTATACAGGTAGCTAATACTTAGGCTAAGGCAGGAAATCACATCTTTCCCTTTGTTGCACAAGTTTCTCTTTGTTCATTGTTTCCTAGGACTCATGTCTATGATCATCTTAAACTAAAATCAGTTAAAATCATATTTTAGAAAAACTATTGGCCTTCTGGAAAAAAATAACTAAATCTAACTCTATACCATATATTTTTAAAAATTTTCCTACATTTTGTATTGGTGTATTATAATTGTACATGATAATGGGACTTGTTTTTACGTGTTTGTACACGCACAAAATGTAACAATATAATTTGGCCAATTTCATTCCCCAGCATTTACCCCTCCCTTCCCACCTCCCACCTCTTGGTTTCTTTCCTTTACTGATCTTTCTTTGATTTCCATGAGATCTGCCCCCAACTTTCTTTTCCTTTTTCCTCTGTAGTTCCCACAAATGAGAGAAAACATACATCCCTTGACCTTCTGACTGACTCATTTTGCTTAACATAATGGTTTCTACTTCCATCCATTTTCCTGCAAATGGCATGACTTTGTTTTTCTTTGTAGCTGAATAAAACTCCATTGTGTATGTAAGACTGGAAAACGCACCACACGACACAGATTACCAAAGAGGTCTCCCTTTATTAAAAGTGGCTGTGTGTTTATATAGGTCTAAGAGAGGTAGCAGGGGCTGAGGTAGATAACAGGTCGCCCGTTTATTGGCAATCTCTTCCATATGTCAGTTCCGGGGCCCAAGAAGTTAATTCTAATTGGAGCTAAGGCTTCCTACCGGCAGGGTTTGAACATTGGCGCCGGAGGGAACGTTTCGCGCCAGTGAAAGAAACAAAGAAGAGAAGGAGAGTCCTTAGATGCCATGCTGGGGTTTTTCTCTGGGGTGCGGCTGCCCTTATGTTTTCCCAACAGTGTATATATACCACATTTTCTTGTCCATTCATCTGTTCTTGGACACCAAGGTTGGTTTCATAGTTTGGCTACTGAGAACTCAATTGCTATAAATATGGGTATGTATGTACTATAGTACAATGCTTTTAATTCTTCAGGAGAAATTCTGAGAAGTGGTATAGCTGCGTCATAGAGTGGATTCATTCCTAGCCTTTGAAGACCCTCCAGGCTGATTACCATAGTGGTGGTACTAATTTGCAGTCCCATCAATAGTGCAAAAGTGTTCCTTTGTCTCCACATCCTCTCCAGCATTTATTATTATTTGTCTTCTTGATGACTAACATTCTGACTGGCATAAGATGAAATTTTAGTGTAGTTTTGATTTGCATTTCCCTAATTGCTAATGATATTGAACATTTTTTCATATTTTTGTTAGCCATTTGTATTTCTTCTTTTAAGAAGTGTTGTTTTAATTCATTTGTACATTTATTAATTGGGTTATCTCATTTTTAGTGTAAAGTTTTCTGAGTTCTTTATATATTCTAGCTATTAATCATCTGTCAGAAGAGTAGCTAGCCAAGATTTTCTCCCATTCTGTAGGTTCTCTCTTCATCTTCCTAATGGTTTCCTTTGCTGTGCAGAAAGTTTTAAATTTGTTGCCATCTCTAAGAAACTCTTTGCCTGTGCCTAAATACTGAAGTGTTGATCCTACATTTTCTTCTAGGAGTTGGGTAGTTTCTGGTCTAATTCCTAAGTTTTTGATCCATTTTAAGTTGATTTTTCTTCAGGGTGAGAGATAAAGTCTATACCCTATTTCTTATATCAGAAAATTTTGAGATTGAGCAGATACTTAAATAAAAATAAAATCTAGAAAAAAATAAAATATATATTATAAGGAAAATGTGGTATATACACAATGGAATATTAGAAAATAATCAAGTCATATATATATATATATATATATATATATATGTATAATATATTTGAGTATATACTCTGAGAATATGGAAGAACCTTCAAAAACTAATAAAGAAAAGGTTTAGTAAATTTTATGACTTAAACAAATTATAAATGTTGTTTGGGGATGGGGGAATATAAGCAAAGCTAAAAGACAACTGATAAACTGGAGAGAAAATTTATGCTATTTGTGACAAATATATTAAGACTTTAGTATATTAGAAGCTTTAAAAAATTCAGTAAAAACAAAATGCTCCTCATAAAGCTAAAGGGATAAAATTATCATACTAGATTCTTGCACTCCCATATTTACTGCAGCACCATTCACAATAGGTAAGGTATGGAATCAACCAAGATGTCCATCAATGGGTGAATGGAAAAGGAAAATGTGGTATATACACAATGGAATATTAGTCATAAAATAATCAAATCCTATAATTTGCAGGAACATGGAGGCAACTGGAGGTAATTCATTATGTTAAGTGAAATAAACCAACACAGAAAGACAAAGACCGCATGTTCTCACTCGTTTGTGGAAACTAAAAAGTCAGCCTCATAGAATGGAGACCAAGAAGGTTGGGGAGTAAGATAAGGGGCAGCAAAACACAGCTAGATTGAAGGAATTAGTTCTTGTTTTCCAAAACACAGTTGGGTAACTATTGGTCTAAACAATTTATGATATATTTCAAAGTAAGTATAAGAATACAAAATTCCCAGCACATAAAAATGATGAATGTTTCAGGAGATGGAAGTGCTTATTACCCTGATTGATCATTACACATTTTATACATGTACTGACATCATAAAATACCTTATGAAAATGTAAAAATATTATGTCTTGCTGGGCATGGTGATTCACACCTGTAATCCCAGCAGCTTGGGAGGCTGAGGCAGGAGGATTGCAAGTTCAAAGCCAGCCCCAGCAAAAGTAAGGTGCTAAGCAACTCAGTGAGACTCTGTCTCTAAATAAAATACAAAATAGGGCTGGAGATGTGGCTCAGTGGTCGAGTGCTTCCTGAGTTTTATCCCCAGTTGAAAAAAATATATATGTCTCAATTTTTAGAAAAAGAAAATATACCCTTATAAATACCTTTTCATTCATCCATATTGAATTGATTTCTCTTACTTGAAGTAAAGAATATCCTAGTGAATACACCATGGAATACATATGAAATAAGTAATTCCCATACACACACACACACACACAGAGACAGAAATATGAATGGCCCTTGAATATTAAAATATGTTCAACCTCATAAATAATGAAATGGAAATGTAAACTACAGAGATAACTCTGCATACTATATTGGCAAAGATTACAAGAACTTTGGTGAGGGTTTGGGGACTCAGCACTCATACATGGTTGGTGGAAAATCATGGAGGGAGCAGTTGGACAATATGGAGCATGTGGTAGTTATACTGTTTCTTTGACAGCAAACTCACTTTTAAGAATTTGTCCTAAGCTGAGATTCATGTACCTGTGAAAACAAGTATGAAAAGGAGGGTGATGTTTATATGAAGAGGAAAAAAAAAGAAGGAAGAAAGCATCTGTGAAGGAAGGGAAGAGGGAAGAAAAAACCCATCAGTAGAGGGTGGGTAAACTACATTATAGAACTCAAAGCTATAAAATATAAAGTCAGCTTAGTAGTGTTACTTAGAGCATATCATTTACAGCATATTTATTGAAAATAAAGAGGCTGGTCATAGAATATTATTAGAGCATGATCCCATGTGTGTAAAATCATACATGCATTTGACATGGAGAGATAAAAGGCTGTGAGGGAAGCCAATCCAACACTTGAACAGAGAGAAAAAGAATTCAAGGGCGGGGGTGGGGGGCATAAAAGGTCCTGTAATTTTTTTAGATTACAGAAGTAAAATATGCTCCTTTTAGAAAAAAAGCATAAATATGCATAAGTTGGAGAAGAATAACCACCCTAATAGTGCCAAAAAGAAAACCACTGTTAATGATTCAGAATATTTCATTTTGTCTTTTTTCTACAACACATTCGTTTTGAAAAACTGCAATTATACTAAATATGCACTATTAAATCCTGATTTTCTTACTCAACATTGAGTAGTCTTTTCCCACATTATTCAATATTTCAACAGATGACATTAAATTGATGCATAATAGTCTATAGCAAACAAGTAGAGCTTATTTAACTATTTTACTTACAAATTTTGGAATTTAACAAGTAATCTTAAAACTTATTATAAATTAATAATGTGTGAAAATTTTGCAAATGAAGAGTAGCAAAAAAATGTTTCTATATGAAAACAGTAGTACATAGTACAATTGCTAAAACGATATTGCTTATTGGGTATGGCTAACTAAAATAGAATAAATAGCCCCAAAATAGTGTTTAAAACAAAGATAATATCACAGGTGAAATGTTTTGCAACATAAAGAATAAGAACCCAGAAATGAGCAACTGATGCTCTTGTCAAACATACAAGCAGATCTAAATGAACTCTGGAGGGAAGCAGTTAAATAAATGATGATATATAACTTTGTGATCTTTCAAATTTTTCACACAGATCAGGATGCAGATGTAAAAAAGATTTCTAAAGCAAATTATGTTAAAAATTCAAGTCATAGACCAATAAAAAACTCCATAAATAAGTGAAAAATTTTTGTTTATGAATGCTTAGATAAACACATAAGGGAGAGTTGTAAGAATAATAACTTCTGAGAAGGAAAGGGGATAAATAGAGACTTTCGATTTTTACTACTCTGTATGTTCATGTTATTTGAATTTTTATGGCAAGTTTTTTATTGTGATATTAAAAGAAATAGAGACATTTTGATATTATATTTTTTAAAAACTATAGATTTATAATTAGTGAAAAATGTCGCAGGAGGCAAATTTTGGTACAAACTTAAAACTTCAGAAATGCCAAAGCAAAATGTTTTAGACAGTCCAAATTTGAGGAAGGACACTTAATCTCTGACATTTAACTTAACAGTCAATCAAATGGATTCTGTACCTTTATCCACTAAAACTTTAGTGAGTTTGGACAGGTGCTTTAAAAAAGAGTAAGCACTTGAGTTAAACAGCCAGTGTACCCTAAGAACAATATATTTGTAAATTAATGATGAATGTTTAAATATGAAGTGCACATGAGATGCAGAAACAAAGATTTCATGAGCCCTAATTACTTACCCCGCCAATAGGACAGGTACTATTAGCATTTTCACAAGACTCTCCTGTATTGAGGCAATGTGGGCCAAGAATGTTGGAGGACACATCTCCTAGGTTTGATGAAGCAAAGGCTGCTACAAATGGTCCCTGCGGAAAGAAACACTCCATTATCTTTTATTCTTTCTTACTTCCTATAATGACTTCCATTAAAGATACATTCAGTCTACTCTAGTAAACTATTCAAAATCATTTGCTGACGATAAAAAGAGAATGTACAATATTGTGAGGTCAATTTTCACTTCTGAAAATATTCACATTGCAGTCAGTATACATATCACTACTGAAAATATTCCAATTAACACAGGGTCATTGAAAGGAGGATTGAGTTTCAAATTTATGCCTCAAACAGAAATATTGAGACAAGAAAACACAGTAAGAACAATGAAATGTGGACCTATCAATCCAGTGTCTAGTGTTTTATCTGGAGCTCAGGGATGCATTTACCCTTTTTTAAAATGTTGTATTGACAAAAAAGCAAAGAGCAACTTCAGATTTCTCTATTGTAAAACTGAATCAAAACATACCATCCAGCATCCAGACTTGCCCTCTGTGAATCCTACCTCTAATCAGCCTTGACCCAACTGGTCTACCATTCCACGTCCTTAAATGTTAATTTTTTCTTAGAGAAAGTGATAACTAAGCATGGGAAATCACATGCCTTTTTTGATACTCAAAGGACAATTTATGTCAAACTGCCTAACACTCAGGCAATGATTATAAATGGGAACCTCTTTTCATTTCCCTAAAACGGAGGCTAAAATAAGAAAAGAGTTTTTCAATAAATGAGATAAAACATCAGACTGAATGCTAGTGGGGTTACTATATTTATAACAGAACATTCATTCTACCTGAAGTCCCGGGAATCTATTCCATTCTATATTCCTCTACATTTGGTGTTTGTATGCCGTGGTAAGGTAGAACAGGGTCTCTCCTCCCACTTTGTAGTTACTAATTTGCCCACAGATGAAGAGTTCCTGCAGTACATGGATTGGCTTCATGGCGCCTCCAAGTCTGATCTGCTCACTCAGTGAGTTCCAAAGCTACTAAACAAGTCTGACGGATTACAGTTGTCTCTAACCTGTTTCTAGGCCTTCTTTTAGGAAAATGAAAGGAATACCATTACGAAGAAAGCCTGGACTAGTGAAAAGGACTTATCACCTATCCTTTTTCGGGATTCTTTCACCATTAATAAGGTGCTTAATACTTTTATGGCTCTGAAAACAAAGTTAACATCAACATAGCTTATCATGTTTCCACCTAGGTCAAAAACTATTACACAGGGGCTGGGGTTGTGGCTCAGTGGTAGAGCACTCACCTAGCAAGGGTGAGGCACTGGGTTCAATCCTCAACACTCATAAAAAAATAAAGGTATTGTGTCCATCTGCAACTTTAAAAAAATTCTTTAAAAAAAGCTATTATGTATTATAAAAATGACTTATTCTTCATTATGCAACTGATTGTAACTTTATAAGTAATATCTAGCCACAAAGAACAAATAGTTTATTCATCATTTTAAATTTTTCTTTCCCTCTTAAGGAGAACTGCAAATTCTTTCTATCCAATCTTATGTGTGATCCATGATGACACTTTATTCTAGAAATATGAATCAGCGATTCTAACCATTGCATGAATGACAACACCTGACAAATTTAGAAGAAATTTTCAATGACATAAATTCTCACCTGTCCAGGGAGATATCCTTTGTTCTTCTCTTGCTCAAAAAGGTAAGATGCATAGCCCATATTGTCACTATTTACAAGATGGTTGCTATTGTTCATGCTGACAGGGTGAATGGCAAACCAGCTGGAAGAGAACAAGAAGCCCCAAGTTAATCAAGAAACCCGAGAACTGAAGCCAAAACTGAGGACTGGGACCTTCCGTTTTCTCCAGCAGGAAAATGTATTTTAAATGTGAAGCTTTCCACGGTTAGATTGGGCTGGGGTTGTGGCTCAGTGGTAGGGCTCTTGCCTGACATGTATGAGGCCCTGGGTTTGATCCTCAGCACCACATCTAGATAAAGAAATAAAGTAAAAATTCCATTGGCAAACTAAAAAATATTTTTTAAAAAATAGATTGAAAATGAACCTAAATTACAAATAATGTGCTTGATAAATCTGATAATTTACTTAAATTAAAAATACAGAATGTTATTTTTGTGCGCTGTCATCATCATCATCATCATCATCAACAACAACAGCTGTGCCAGGGCTGGCCAGTTACCAGATGGCATTTCTAAACAATTATAGAGGTGTAGACTTTGTCCTTCAGGACAGACACAAAGATGATAACTATTCAAATCAATCCTGTCCAATTCAATAGACTTGTCCTGAGGGACAGCTGTATGCCAAACACAGAATAAACGGTGGTGTGCTCTCAGAATCTCACAGAAGACAGAGATGTGAATGAATGGCCTTAATACAGTGTGACAAATGGTAAAAATAAAATAGACATAAAGTATTCAGAGACCACAGATGACTAGCAATTAATTCTTAAGGGCATTACAGAGAGAAGAATCAGCAATGTAAATCCATGGAGGCGTGAAAGAGGATGTTATGCATAATTCAGCATATCCTTATGCATAGTAATAGCTTGAGTGCAGAGATATATAGTTTACAAATTAATTTCACATCTGTTAGTTTCTTTAAGCTCCCCAGCTACCCTGATAGGCTGTTTTACCTCCACCTGCATGGTTGATTCAGAGATACAAAATGATGACCCCCTTTTCATAGAGGAATATGACTCAAATCAGAGTCTATAAGCCTTTGTCCAATAGCTTTTGTAAGATCAAACCACCACACAGGTGAAAAAAATATTTACAGAAGAGAAGACAGTAAAACAGATGAACTAGAATGCTTAAGATGAGAAAGATGCCAATTCATGAAGTTTGGGGTTAATTTAGAATTTTTTTCTATACAGGGTCTCACTCTGTTGCCCAGTCTGACTTCAAACACCTGGGCTCAAGTGATCCTCCTACCTCAGCCTCTTGAGTAGCTGAGACAAGATTAAAAAAAAAAAAAATTGTCAATTCAAAAGATGTGGGGGGGATGTTTTTAAATTATTCAACAAGTAAACAGCATGGAAACAAGAAAAAAATTGAGAATTGCTGTGTATTAGAAAACTTAATATACATACCAAATAAATGTAGGTTTGAATTCTGGTTTTTTAAAAAAAAGACTTGATATAATCAGGAATAACTGAATGCAAACAGGGTATTAGATCCTTTTAAGAAGTTATTTTTAATTTTGTTGGTTTGGTGATGATTTGTAGTTATGCATTTTTTCTAAAAATATAAATCTTTATCTAAAAGATATATTTACTAAAATATTTGAATGAAATAAATATATGATATTTGATATTTTTTAAATTGCAAAATGAACAAAAAGGGAGAGGAGGAATGGAACAGAATGGCAGAGCACTATCAAGTTATATCCAAGCTGGTTGATAGCTACATGGAGAATCATTACCCTAATTTGCTCTAAATTGGTACATATTGAAATTTTCCATAACAGTTTTTTATTTCATGTTGGTATCCATCCCAAAAGCACAATGTCAGGCCGAATCAACAGTCCATAAGGTCTCTACAATGACTATTTGCCACTGTACAAAGAGAAGTTTAGGCTGAAGATAATCTAAGCTCATCCTCTAGAAGTTAATTGCAAGTTTTTTTTGCATTTCAGAAAACCGTTCTCTTTGTGTGGGGGGAGGGTGTCTCTTTCTCTTAAAACTGTAATGTCAAAATAAATTCTAATCAACTCTTTTCCAGTTAGTGGACTTTGGTTTTTGTTGTTGTTTGTTTGTTTGTTTTTAATTTTGCTCTGTTTAGTTTAGAAAGAAAATGTGGTAATGGCCTTGGCAGTTTCATGGCTCCCTGACTGAAATATTTCAATCTGATCGGATCACATTGAAGTCAGCCAGATTCATCCACAGCACTATCTCCCCATTGCAATCAAAGGACACTGCAAAACAATTCTTCCAACATTGGCTATTATTTAGCACATATTAGGCAAAGACTTTTAAATAAAAGTCTCATTTTATTCTCACAAGAAGCTTTTGAAGCAACTTAGGAGGATAAGGCAGAAGAATCTCAAGTTCAAAGTCAGCCTTGGCAACTTGGTAAGACCCTATCTCAAAATAAAAAAAAATGACTGGGATGTGGCTTAGTGGTAGAGGATCACTGGGTTCAATGACCAAGTACCACAAGGAAAAATAAAAAGAACCTCTTGAATCAGGTACTTTCATTATTCTCATTTTACAATGAAGGAAACTTAGTCTCAGAGTAGGGAAGTAATCTGACCAAGGCCACAGAGTCATTAAGTTGAGAAACAGGGCTATGAATCCAGGTTTGTCAGACTATACATAAGGTCTTATTCACTATGGGATACTGGTTCTGTTCCTTCCCTTTTTTCATTTGTTCATTCTATACAAGTTAACTTTGTGCCAGGCACTAGGAATGTAAGGATGAATGAGACATCATCTTGCCTTTGAGAAATGCTTGACAAAGGATCTGACATTCCAGTTGGTCTGAAAGCATGAATAGGAACTTGTCAAAGGACTCATTACAGATGTATTCCTAGCAAAGTAAATAACATCTGCAAAGGCACAGAGCTGAGAAAAGTGTGGTGTGTTCAGAGATTGAGTAGATAGGGTGGCCAGAGCAGAATGAATACCATCAAGGAACAGTAGCAGTTGTATCGTCATTCAGCCAGCATGAACTTATTGAAAGCCGGGAGTGGAACAGGCATTGTGTTAAACTCCAAGGAATTCAGAATCAGTTCTGTTCTCTATCAGCAAGAAAGTTAAAACTGTCCACAAAGTATCTGTGGAGGAAGCAAATGCTAAGCAAATTTTAGTCTTGTAGTTAGATTACAGATGACTTCCTATTTATTTCAGGTCTGAGAAAATCGATTGAAGGTTTTCTCTACAAAAGTGCAAAAACATGTATCCCCTCCACCCCCCAAAAAAGTTATTCGTATTGCAGGAAAGGAAAATGTTGTATATTTTTCTCTTCTTTCCTTTGAAATACGTTGTTTAAATATCAGGCATGCCAAAGCAATGAGAGTACTATGGTAACTGATGAATATTTATTTAAAAAAATACAAAGAGGTGGTCATTTTAATTTTAAAAGGACACACAATTTATTTTATCTTCTAAAAAAAATACTCTTCAAAGAAAAGTTCAAAGGAAAGGAAGAAAGGCTTAGTTAGTTTCAGAAGGTGTTTGAGTACAGATCTAAGAGGATGAACATTTCCCAAATAATAAACATTTTTAAATAATGATGATGTCATTATTTAAATACCTAGGTGGAACATGGGATACAGGCCTATATCCCAACCAACATAGTACAATCAAGAATACTGAGGAAAGTCAAAGGACTGGAGATTTTATCTTCGTTTATAGCAAAATCAGTTAAAATTCTTGGATCTTTATTCCTGAGACTGAAAAATAACAAATTTCAACCATATTTTATGAATCAATAAGCAGCATATTAATATATGTTTTGGTTGTACATGCCCGCAATTTCAGCACCTCAGGAGGCTAAGGAAGAACAACCACAAGTTCAAGACCAGTCTCGGTAATTTAGTAAGGCCCTAAGAAACTTAATGAGACCCTGTTTAAAATTTGGGGCTGGGGCTGGGGTTGGGGCTCAGTGGTAGAGCATTTGCCTAGCAATGAGGCACTAGGGTCAATCCTCAGCACCACATAAATAAATAAAATAAAGGTTAAAATATATATAATATGTATATGTAACATGTATAAATATACACATATTTATATTATATATAATATATTTTTAATATATAAATATATTATGATCTGGCTCTGAAATGTCCCCAAAGCTCATAGGTTGAAGGCTTGGCTCACATTGCAGCAGTATTCAGAGCTGGTGCCTTTGGGAGATGACTGGATTCTGAGGGCTCTGACCTTATCCTTGGACTCACTCATTGATAGATTCTTAACTTAATGGGTTCATGGGAGATGGTGGACATTTGAGGAGGTGGAGCCTGCTTGGAGGAAGTAGATCATTGAGGGCATGTCCATGAGTATACCTTTCTCTTTTGCTTCCTAACCACCATGAGGTGAGCATCTTATTCCAGTACATGCTCCTTGCCAAGTTGTTCTGTCTTATCACAGGCCCAGAAAAAACAGAGCCAAGTGATCACAGACTAAACCCCTGGAATCATAAGTGAATCTTTTCTCCTTTAAGTTGATTTTCTGAGGCATTTTGACACAGCAATTGAACGCCAACTAGCACAACATAGAATAATGATGTTTTTCTCCTGTGTGAATGAGGCATTTAGAGAAAAAGATCTCTAGAACCTCTTTCAATTCAGACATTGTATATTTTCTACTGTAAAACAGAAAATAAAAGTACCATAAAAATTCATAAACTAATAGAACCTCAGTGGAAGTCAAGTTTCAGTCTCTCAGACTTGGACCCCCAGGTCCAGTATGTAGGTTGCACTGTATAAAAAGGTGGTTGGTAGTAGGGCTGAGTAGGGATTAAATACAGCCCCTGTACAGCTCACCAAGCCAGGAACATCTGTCAGCCCAGAAAAGAATATGACTGTAAGATTTATACCCAGGGGCCTAAGTGGTGTTATTTGTGACCTCCTGTAAACTAAATAGAAAAACAGAATTGGGTGCAACCATTCAAAGGTTGTGTTCATGACGATTCATGGTAATATACAAGCTCTTTGGGTAAATACAATAAAGGAGGCCATAGTGGGTAGAACAGTTCCCCCCAAAATTTATATTTACCTAGAACTTCAGAGTGTGGCTTATTTTGGAAGATCTTTATAGAT